GCCAATGTGGAACTTCCGATTCCACCATTCCTATATATACCACCAGTGCCACTATGTATACCACCAGTGTCAAAGGGCATTTCTGCTTGGGCAATGGTGTCAATTTCGAGGCCTCGCGACTTACGCGTTGTCGTAGGCTGACTGACTCTTACTTGGTGGGGGATGCTGTCATTATCACCTGAAGATGCACGAGGAAATTCCTCTTTGTGGACGATAGGTGTGGAGCATACTGATCCTCCTGCTGAAACCATGACCCTATCTGCTTCTACACAGTCTTTTGTATTTTCAGATTCAACTTCTCCATTACATCTTTCGACTGAAAGGCCTTTCGAATGCAGATCTATATCAGGCTCACGAATCTCTAGCCCAAGCAAACATTCTTTAAGCTGAAATGAAATAAGATACAGGAACAATGAACGTTTATGTCCAAACCGACATTAAAGACCGAGACTGTAGAACATTTCAAGGTATTTAGTTTGACAAAGTACAATATCATTCCAATATAAAAAGGATGTTTCAAGTTTCCGTTTCTCTCCCACCAAGTTGTCGAGAGTTGATTTACTAACTGGATCTGAGCATGCTTTTGAGGTTGCGCATTACAATATGTATGCATTATAAATTTGCACATTTGAATAACACCTTATTCAATTTGACAACGTAAAGCACACAATGTTTGGCTCTAGTCGAAGTTGAGACGTTGGTATATTCGTTGCGGAGTGAATGGTCTTTACCTGCCTGAGATGCGTTTCTTCCTCGAAATAATATTCTCATGGAACGATAAAGGGCGGAGGCGAAGGATGCTGAAACAAACATCACATGCCTATGGTGATAGGTCAAGTATTGGAAAATGTGTGTTAAAACTTTAATACAACTATACAAGACATCACCAAATTGCAACACGAAAGTACAAAATTCATCAGTAGGAGTGTATTTGTCAAAGGAATCTTTCGTTCAGTGTTCTTCAGACTTTTATATCGTGATTTTTCAACATCTGATTTTAGTGTTATATGGAAATAACATTATTTACATGTCGGATGCCTTATATGTTCATGGGCCAATGTATCATCCTGGAATTAGATGTAACAACAAAACACCCGATACCTTGATATGAGGAAACACGATCAACCTATTAAACCATCATCTGTGTTACACTTAGGTTTAATATTATAGGAATATTGACCGTCATTGCCAGACTCTATAGCATGGTCTGCAGCGACTTTTGTAGCAACATCTGTAGGAACTTCTGTAGTAGCGTCTGTAGCAACTTCTGTAGTAGCGTCTGTAGCAACTTCTGTAGTAGCGTCTGTAGCAACTTCTGTAGTAGCGTCTGTAGCAACTTCTGTAGTAGTGCCTGTAGCAGCCTCTATAGCTGAATCTGTAGCATCTTCTGTAGTAGCGTCTGTAGCAACTTCTGTAGTAGCGTCTGTAGCAACTTCTGTAGTAGCGTCTGTAGCAGCCTCTATAGCTGAATCTGTAGCATCTTCTGTAGAAGCGTCCTTAGCAACATCTGTAACAGCTTGGTGTCTGTGTTGCTGGGTTTGATCTTCAACCATCACTTGTTTTTCACTTTCGCTGTCTAGACGAACTCGTGATTTCCTTTCACTCGTAGATGTATCTGTAACACAGATGCCAATTTTACTTGGCCACAAGACACTAATGATTGTAGCAAAACGGTTGGGAATGCCTCTTCCCCAACTTCTTAGATCGAGAACAAAGGACAACGTCCTATGTCACTTACCCTGTGCTGATTTAAGGACATTGTTGTCAGTCTGTGTTCCAATTCCCATTTTTCTATCATCCTCGTGATGACTTCTTCTCGACCACCAATGAGATAATAATTATCTGAAATTAAAAATAATGTAGGTTTCACATCTTTGATTGATATAAGGCCAATGTATGGAATTTAAATTTGGGTACAGAGTCATGTAAAGATGGTGAGTATTTAACTATCTAAGGCACCAGTACATACTTGTGTTACCCATCCCGCCATGGACACTCATGGATGGTGGTTTCCGGGACTCCCGGTTTCCAATGAAACTCTAAAAAATCGAACAATAAATATTATGAATAGACCTTATGTTTTGTTTCTGTTTAACATTTTATTATTAAATCATCATAACATCTCCACGACCATTCAACTATCTGTAAACTCTAGCATCCATATACGTTTTGTATTAAAGTGGAATCACATTCTGTCTTTGAAACTGTAGTTGCACAAGTTGAATCAGTACTAACCGCCTTGTAAGTTTCTGGAAGACATCTTCACATCTTAAGAGCTTTGGTAAAATGTCAACACCCTTATTGTATTCCATGTTGGTTCACCACCCCTCGGCAACAGTCGCAGGTCCCTCAGCCTCCTGTTACGACCTTGATGGCCTCTCGGAGCCCTGTGTGTAATAATGACCTTAATTAGTATCCTATATCAACATTATCGCCTAGTAGCTGCTCATATGTCCAGTACCCTCGTGGATCTGTTATAGCTTCTAGTAGTCGCTGTGTCCTTTACATCCGCTGTTTAGAATCTCCGTGGACTGTCATTGTATCTGTCTCCGTCTTGAACGCACGTTAAGGTCGATGACTTAAGTATCCTGATTTTCTGAAAGGTTAATAACACGTGTTACACTTAAACAATGAACACGACTGATTCCAGAGTTAACACTCATTACAAGCAGTTTATATAACTCTAGTGAACTGTAGTGACAATGCAACACCCACAACACAAGTTTAGAGTCCTAAAAGAAAGCTCATAGCCAGTATAAAGACAACTCACAAATAAACTGTCAGCTGCTGAATGAGGAAGCTTTAACTACGACATGTGTGTATTAAAATAGATATACTGTAGGTGTGTACCTATGGTGCTGATATCATTGCAGAATCAGGGGAGGTAACTTAGCTCAAGCACACTCTTTAACCACACGTTGTGAGATGACTTTGATTTATCTACGTACATACACATGTCATTTGTATCTCGCCTACGAATATATGGCAGTCAACAGGATACAAAATCACGATTTTGATCGTGCGGTCTGAACTAATCTTGTTCAAGTATTGATAAACATTGTAGGGAAATTGCGAGTGACATCAGCAAAGCAGGTGTAACAATATATTCTGCTGCTGTAAATATATGCACGTGGTATGTGTGTGTGTGCGTGCGTGCGCGACCGGCCGTCCGGGACTGATTTAAGCGCTGGGCCTGCCAGGGTTCCCCCCCAACCCCTCTCTCTCTCTCTCTCTCTCTCTCTCTCTCTCTCTCTCTCTCTCTCTCTCTCTCTCTCTCTCTCTCTCTCCTCTCTCTCTCTCTCTCCCTCTCTCCATCCTCTCTCTCTCTCTCTCTCTCTCTCTCTCTCTCTCTCTCTCTCTCTCTCTCCCTCTCTCTGCGACACACCGGCTTCAGATACGCATGATCATACGCACAGCAAGGTGTATATCCTTGTCCTTAATATTACACACACATACACAGTAAGAGAGAGACAGACAGAGACAGTCAGTATTAACGTGTAAGGCAGACACATACTTTGACCTGATAATGCAAAGTGATACGTCAGTGCACATTTACACAGGCCTCATTCAGATCCCATGTTCTTTAAAAGGCCCTGATCACGGTTCATGTGTCAGGATTAACATTTCAAGCAGTCACCTATCAAGCTGTAAAATTAGGAGGGTGTGACGGTGAAGTTATTTTATACATTACATATGACGTGGGTTTGAAGTCCCCGGGAACGTTCTCATTTGAGAAAAGCCAATCCTAACCCGGATCTTCACTATTGCGACACGATAGGCATTAATCTGTACAATTTGAGTGAGTGAATGAGTGCGTAAGTGAGTGAGGAGTGTAAGTGAGTGAGGAGTGAGGAGTGAATACGTCTTCAAACGCCTTTCTATTTCAGTTATTAACATCCAAATGCACTAGAGTGACCTTTTATTATACTATATTATATCATATACCTTATTATCTTGCATTAATCTGTTACTAAATAGATTACACATCCATGTAATCTTAGGATAGTAATACAAGGGTGCAATACGGATGACGTTCTACATTGCTACGCTATGACTTGTTTTAGATTAATGCAAGATAAGAGGGTATATCATACATACAGAACGTCATACTAGTGCATTTGGATGTTTTGATGTCCTGGGAGCAGGCCGTTAATCACTTAGTGAAAGGCGCAACCGCGGGTTGAGACTGACATGACCAGGATCCGGGGGAATTTGGGATTTGGACGATCAGTGGATCCTGCTTAGATTTAGCAACTGAACTCTGCAAAGATATTTATAGTGTACCCCGTATACCAGCAGGTCACAAGTGACCTCCTTCCTTATCAGCTTAGTCTCATGCACATCTGCCTTACTTGCTCACGGGTATGAAATTACACAAAGTGCACAGCTAATCTTCTACACAACTGTAAAAAGCCAGCAAGAAGATAACCCACACAGGTGAAAACTAATCTTATTGAGACACCGACGGACAGTCTGCAATATAGAGAGTGTAAACTGAAACATTCCAGAGGATTGTATAAGACTCAATGGATGCTATAAAATGTCTGTGAGTGGGTTAGTGAGTGAGTGTGGCTTTATGCCACTATTAACAATATTCCAGCAATATCATGATGGGCAACACCAGAAATATGTTTCACACATTTTACCCATGTGGGGAAGCGAACAAAGTCTCCGGTGTGGATTTACCCACTACATGAGTGAGATTACCCCAACCATTAGAACATCCCATTATTCATAAGTTAAAGTTTTCATTAAAGTGGATTCTGTGAAGTAAATTTTCTCACTAGCATACAGTTGGTCCCTATAGCATCCAAAAGTGTGATTTAACTTTCCTTTTCTCTTACAAATGCTTCAAAACATTTGCTATCTACTAAAATAGTTAGTCCTTTAAGGTGATAAATAAGACCTATACATCTCAGATAATTTAACAATTTCAGCCTTTCAGACAAGATAGTTCTGAATAAGGAAAAAAGCAACATGAATTCGGTATTTGGCTTTTATTGGCTATGTACAAGAAGCATGATACTATTTTAGCTATACTAAAGGTCATTCTAATCATACAAATACCAAAGCAATGTACCTTTCTCTATTCCAGTATGATGAATATCCTGGATTCATTGGAAAACACATCTGTCCATTCAGGTCAGGACTCAGGGTATTTACCATTAAAGAACTGAGATACAGTACTCTCGACCGATGACGTATGATCATTACAATAAAGCAGAGCGAAAAATGTGTAGTAAGGGTATAGTTAAAAGCATATAAATCCAAAATAACAAAGCATTAATATACAGCTTGGTAGATGACAGTGGAGGTAAAAATTAATATGACCATTAAATTATAATCTTTCACTTCATCAAAAACTTTTGATATATAAAGTCAGACTTACTTTCAATAAAGTCTAAGTTATAGATAATATTTGCATGATAAAAGTAACACTCCGATGCAAATCAACAATCTTTTAATAGCATACCCGACAGAAAAGTTTCGATCCTTTGGAACCAGGCAGTTGGTGGATTCATCGCACTGATCTGCAAAATGAGTTCCACATTTAGTTTTGTTTTCACTCTCACTACTAAGTTTTGAATGTCTCTCAGATCAATTTTGATAACTTCAGGATGCCCTGCATAAAAGCCTGATTCAAGCCTAATCCCTGGCCCTAATTCACTAACTGTGAACACCTCTTGCACATTTCCAGGGGATGTAACTCTCAACAGTCTTTTTCCACATTCTGCCGAGAGATGACTCGCACTGGCCTTGACTGGATGCATCTGAGATCAAACGTAAATTCTACACAATTTCCAGGGAGGCCAATCAGTGGGTCGACAGGGAGGGAAGTAACAGGCCTCTCTTAATATTAGGATTATCTCCCGCATCCTTCCCTCAAACTCTCTGAACAAACAGCATTCCGTCCACTATCTACCCTGGAACGATCTTCAACCAAAGTCTCTGCATATGCAGCATCCAGCTGTTTCTGCCCACTATCTGTTCTGGAACCATCATTCCCTAATTTCCCCGAACGGACATCATTCAGGTGAAGCTGTCAACCTTCTGCAGTTGTACAATCTTCCATCAGTTTCTCCGAGTTGACGACCATCAAGTTGGTCCGCTCCCGGGTTCCCGGACCTATTTCCACCTTGATGCTAGATTTAAGCTTGACGTCTGGAATAGTCTCTTCTGTTAGAACATTGAGTGGGTCTTCCTTCTTGTGTATATGCTGCCCTGCTTTGACCCTCATCTTAATTCCAAGTGTGTCAGAGTCGTATAATTCTTCTGATGGCGTGATATTGCAGCATGCAAGAACACTTACAAGATGATAAAACACCTCTTCGTCTGTTAAGGATTGAATGTCCTCTTCACTCACATCGCTCACGTCACACTGATGAAGATGAACGTAGAGCTCATCATCTGTCATTGCAGACCCATTGTCGTGATATGCATGTAAGACCCCCGCGATTCGTTCATCTGTATTGGCATCTCCGCTTTCCGAGTCATGTTTCTTGCTAGTCACTGGAGCAGGACTCTGAAGAGTCTGCGCAGATCTTCGGGGAAAATTGCTCGTTTCCAAATCTCTCAGACGCCTCTTGATATGTTCAAAATCCTCATTTGTACAGCCACCTGGAAACAAAATACATTACTGTCAGTCCATCTTTCTCAATTACATCAACAGTATTAACACATTAATTAATAACCAGTCGATCTTGATCAATATTAATCCAAACCACCCAACCCTTTCCACAATCATAAGAAATGTGGGTTAAAAGAACACCTTTTTGTAACGAATCCTACGTATTCACAAATACGAGTTAATAAATCACTATAAGAAGGTTTATACCTCCTATTAGTATTGCATTTTTAGCATTTGTATTTTTATATTTTGCAAACGTTGCAATGTACAATTACAGTAAAGTATATTATGTGTAATGTTCATGGAATGAATATGTGTGACTGGCTTGAAGACGATTACGAACATTAACTTTACACGTTGTACACGTTTCACTACCTTGTAAACTAACAACCAGTCTACACATAAGTAATCCTAAAAACGTTTATGATTAACAAATCCATCAACGATTGATGTGGAAAATATAAATCACATGAACTGTTTGATATTAACTGTCAGATATTAATCAGGGTGTTGGCAACCACATAATGTGTTTATGTCTTTCATGCAAAACGTACTTTGGAAGATTAATGTTACATTATCTCCATTGTGTACAGTTGACACGTTGGATCTGTACATGCACCCCCCGGGCGCGCCTATCATTGTTTCTGTCCGCAGCTGTCCATCACCAACTGAAGAAAGACAAACACAAGAAGTACATTAGCAGAGAGCTTCATGTAAGAGCCTAAAAATGTTCAAAGCGTGGTTACTTGTTTTATTGCTTGTACCATACGCTAGCGATATGGGACGCCAACCATAACAACAATCATTATATTGTCTGATCCCCACACGACTGATTACACAAAAACAACAAACGTATCTTAGATATCCATGGCTTCAATTTATCTTCGTCTCTGCCGATACAGTAAACTATGTTTATAACGAACAGGCCTATAGCAAAGCGCCCATGTTATACCCCTTATAACCGTAGTTAACTGATTATACGTAGGAAGACTCGTGTACCTGTAGGATGGAGTGCCTTCTTTATTTGGTTCTGTGCACGTTCTAGGGCCAGTGCCATGTCTCCTTCATCCTCTGGAACATTAGGTATAGGGCGTTGTTTTCTTGTCTCTGACATTCTGAAACACCGAACTCAAATCGTTATGATCACAAGCATCTTGAATGTCATTGAGAGTGTTTGGTTTCATTTTTGTGTGTAAAATGGTGAGCAACTGGGTCTTCAAAGAAGGCATCACAATATCCACCTTTCACAATTACGTATAATCTGTATGCTCTAGTTACCTCTAGATACCGCCAACACACTACATGAGCTATATCTGCTATAGACAACTCCAACACTACATGAACTATATCTGCTATAGACAACTCCAACACTACATGAGCTATATCTGCTATGGACAACTCCAACACTACATGAGCTATATCTGCTATAGACAACTCCTATATCACTACATGAGCTATATCTGCTATAGACAACTCCAACACTACATGAGCTATATCTGCTATAGACAACTCCAACACTACATGAGCTATATCTGCTATAGACAACTCCAACACTACATGAGCTATATCTGCTATAGACAACTCCAACACTACATGAGCTATATCTGCTATAGACAACTCCAACACTACATGAGCTATATCTGCTATAGACAACTCCAACACTACATGAGCTATATCTGCTATAGACAACTCCAACACTACATGAGCTATATCTGCTATAGACAACTCCAACACTACATGAGCTATATCTGCTATAGACAACTCCAACACTACATGAGCTATATCTGCTATGGACAACCCCAACACTACATGAGCTATATCCACTCTGGACGTGAGTGAGTTACGTTTTACGCCGCTTTTAGCAATATTCCATAAATATGACGGTGGGGGACACCAGAAATGGGCTTCACACATTGTACCCATGTGGGGAATCTATCCGGGGTCATTGGCGTGACGAGCGAATGCTTTAACAACTAGGCTAACTCACTTTAGACAACTTCAACACAATACATGAATACATTAACTACATACACCTTTACGAATTCCAAAACAAACGTGTTATTCATTCACCCTGGTCAAATCAAAACAATACATGTGGTGTATCCACAATGAACAATACCAACACAACACATGTGGTGTATCTATCCTGAACAATACCAACACAACACATGTGGTGTATCTATCCTGAACAATACCAACACAATACATGTGGTGTATCTATCCTGAACAATACCAACACAATACATGTGGTGTATCCACCCTGAACAATACCAACACAACACATGTGGTGTATCTATCCTGAACAATACCAACACAATACATGTGGTGTATCTATCCTGAACAATACCAACACAACACATGTGGTGTATCTATCCTGAACAATACCAACACAACACATGTGGTGTATCTATCCTGAACAATACCAACACAACACATGTGGTGTATCTATCCTGAACAATACCAACACAACACATGTGGTGTATCTATCCTGAACAATACCAACACAACACAAACGGTGTATCTACCCTGAACAATTCCAACACAACACAAACGGTGTATCTACCCTGAACAATTCCAACACAATATACTCGAAGCTTCAGCTCTTACTACAATGAATGCTGATTAATTCTTGATTAGAAAGACTACATACGAATTATTCTTAAATATTATGGTATGTACTACCATTGTGACAGGAAATAATATTGTTTGAACACGAGGTAGAAACATGAAATCAATTTATCTGGCTACACTAAGTATAGGCTGTGCTTACCTCTCAGCTGAATACATCCAGAGCGATTTGGTTGGAAACGAATACTGCTATATTCCTTGTGAATATGGAGATAAGTTACAGCTATTCACTGTCTTCAGGTGATCACAGGAATCGAGGTGTAGGCTCTGGTTACCTCGATGTCCACTGGCTGAATTAACTCCGTTGAGGATAAAATTGTTGTTATGAAACAACATGTAGTGTTTTCTTACTTGTGTTGTCCTTGGTGAATAATCATGTGCATGCATAGTTTTAATATTTTTCGCTTCCATGATACCTGCTTCATAACTTTGAGTCAAAATGTCACATAAACGGGCCGATTCTTCTAAGATATTTAGGGATTTAATAAATTGCACAAGTGTATCACATTTCACACATGAACTGTGTTCCCGCTTCACGTAAACATGTCGAGGCAATCCTTGCGTGGGCCTTTGTACACCTGGACGTATTTGGGCGAGCGCTGTCAAATGCTCATGAAAAAGTCGGATGGTACCGGGGACACTGCTACTGGGAGAGATTCGCTGTGATTATATGCATGTATAAGTTATTTAGAGATTGTATCATGAACAAACAATGTTGCTGTGACCTGCCACGTTTATCTTAAATGTACACCCGGGTGTGACAGGCTTACTTCATCTCCTACTTTAAACTTGAAGATCTTCCTTCTGACTTCATGCATCGTTTCTGCTTTGGGTTTTACTTGTTTCAATAGTCGGTCAATGTATTGTTTTTTCCAAAACAAGATATTCATTGTTCGCAGTAATGTCAGTGGGTGATCATTCATTCAAAGATCTATGAGGTCTATGGTTATAGGGCCAAACAAAATCTTGCAAAAATTTCAAATAACGGTATGTCTGTTTTTAAGTAAAATATCTATATATAGTGGTCTTGAGTGTCTGTATTACTCTCTCCGCATAAGAAGACTTGGTTTCATTTTGTGTCATATACGTGATACCTTTATGTCTTAAAAGTAACCTCATCCTTCTATTATCAAATTCACAACCTTTGTCAGATCTTAGAATTTGTGGTATTGAGGCACGAGAAAATATCTTCGTCATGGCCTTAATGACGGCGTGCGGTGTTTTAGTTTAAAGGGGTTCCACCCATGGAAATCTTGTAAATACCTTGATAGCTATCACTCAGTATTTCACACCGTCATTGTCGGAGGCTATGTTAGATACATCAGCCAAGTCAACATCCCATCGACCATGAAAACCAATTGAGACCCTTCTGATTCACTTGAATTCGTACCTAAAAGGTCGCTGAAGGAAATATCATCTTGAGAAGCTAACCACTTCTTAATGTGATGTAAACTTATACCATATTTCCCTTCCTTTTTCATCATTTGATATAACTTTGTTGGACCTGAAAAGAAGGCTGGATATTTGGAAATGAAGTAAATGTTGGGCAAATATTCTGTCCATCCTTCAACTGGCATGGTGAGAATACAAATGATGTGGAAATAAACTGCATATGTTTTTATCAGAAACCATGTCTCATGCAGAAGCAATTGGTTTACACAGGTTAGGACTGGTCTCGAGCGACTGTTTGACCTAGTTTCGCTCTCACTGTACGAGCATTACTGTTGTGTGAGGTTGATAAGGGTTTGTTTACACAGGTGACTCAACCTCGTGTGTGTGACTAGTTCCTCTCATCGTTGCATTCCTCGAAATACATACTTTGGATGAAAAGACGTATGAAGTAGATCTTTGTATACTCTTTCACATTTTATTGTACACTGAAATATAACAGTCCATACGTTGATGTCTTTACTAGATGTTAAGTACCGCAACCAACAACTTGCGAGGGAGTTTTTTTGTTTACATACATACAATCACGTTCGGTCTATGACAGTCTCACTGAAACAGACTGGTTCGTTATTCTGCTTTAAAAAACAAGTTTGTCTCCTTGCTTGAATATGCTCATTAAACAATTGATTATGGATAAATGTTAGATGACGAGTCGTCTCCCTAATAATAGTCACAAGCCAGCCCTCGTTATCTTTAGACTTGGGGATTTTCAGTGCTATAAATAGCTTGACATATTGCACCATAGCTTGTAATAGGTCTACGCTTCTTTAATTAGCTCTGCACTATCGATAATTGGGTCAAACAGGGTGGTTCTCTCGTTTTCTAGTTATCATACAGCCTCTCATAACTGTCAGACAAATGTCACATAAACAGGCTGATTTTTCTAAGATATTTAGGCATTTAGTAAATTGCACAAGTGTATCACATTTCACACATGAACTATGTTCCCGCTTCACGTAAATATGTCGTAGGCCTTTGTACACCTGGCCGTATTTGGGCGAGCGCTGTCAAATGCTCATGAAAAAGTCGGATGGTACCGGGGACACTGCTACTGTGAGGGATTCGCTGTGACTAATACATGCATAGGTTATTTAGAGATTGTATAATGAACACACAGTGTTACAGTGACCACGTTTATCTTAAATGTACCACAGCCTTAATCTCCTAAAACTTGAAGACCTTCCTTCTGGCTTCATGCATCGTTTCTGCTTTGGTTTTACTTTCGGTGTCCACATATAACAATAAAGACAATATTTCTTGTACAATGAACATCACATATACTTGTCAAAAAGAAATCCCTACGGTGAGAGACTTTGAAACTTCTCTTGTCTCTGTCGTGGCCCTGTTACAACCTTTGTAGTTTTAGAGCAGTTCGAGAATGGAAGCCTTTTGTACTGTAGTGGTTTGTAGGATTTCTTTATATTATAACGGTAGTAGTCTCTCATATCAACGCTATCGTTTAGTAGGTTATTGTATCTATAGTAGCCTTGCATATCTGTTATAGCTTCTAGCAGTCACGGTATCCGTTACGTCCGCTAGAGACATTTTCGATCCTCCCGTATATTGCTATGATGGCTTATGAGTCCATCTTAGAGGCCCGAGCACTCGTTACAAGTAGAACAAGTCAGGCTATCTTACACTACCACAGCCTCTCATAAATACACTGTAACTGCTATGTTGGTACAGAAACAAATCACTCACTCTCGGTCAAGAGTTTATATAGACAACATAATAATGAAGAGTCAACAATTGCCTCTTTTTATGAATGATGATGTTGAACACCCCCAAATATTGGCATAAAAACAGATATACTCACATATTCCAAGCAGAGTCTGGTGGGGAAACTTACCTTACTACACGCTGCACGAGTCTGAGATAAGACCACATTCGTCCCTTATATACATGTATATCACGTGACCAAGGATTGATTCCATTAGAATCCTCTAGAATGTTGTTGAAACTAGTCTGGGTAATCTTGAAAACTGGTCTGGAGTTAAATCTATGGGCTGAATCTTATATCTTTCAATGATAAGTATTATAACAACGTGGGTGAGGTCAGCAAAGCAGGTATAACACTAGACCCTTCTATCGTATAGATAACCACAGCTAACCACGAAGAGATTAATGCATATGGGTTGAAGGAAATATAGGTGGATGACACAGTTGGGGTGGAAAGAGACCTTCCGTTAGCTGTTTTACGTGCCGACAGTGCAGGCTACTAGCCAACGCTCAGGATTTGCTCTGGTCCCAAATCTTGCCTTCGGTCTTTTTAGATGACACAAAATAGTGATAAAAATCATAAAACCA